TTCCTTTGCTAAGTTCTTTGTGAGAGAGACACAGCTAGTTCGTAGGCAGTTAATGTAGTACAGCTTGAACCGACAACCAATTGTATCCTGGGAATCGAACACCGATCATAACCTCTTGCACTTCGATTTTGATTGATCTACTTTGATTCTCTTATTGTTCCCCAACAGATGAAAGTTGAAATTCCATGAAATGTATAGTTGAAAATGAGTTTGAAGAAAAATGAATTGGGAAAAAAGAGGATCAAACATTGATAAGTGTCTCCTTTATCGAGGGAACCAAGAAACTTGTGACAAATCAATTCTCAGTCAAACGGGCTAGTTAATCGGCTTAAATATCTTTTTTAAAAAAATTATTTTTTATTTTTTGTTATTTGACTAGTAAAAATTTATGGTCTTAGTTTTGATTGGTGTGTCTTCATCAACTACAATAATGTCAATAAAATTATGTCTTTATGCGAATACATTCATATCCTTGGATGTTGAGATAGTTCTTGATGCTTTTGCGTATTTATGTGACATTGACATTCTTGTCCAGATGCATCGGCTTATAACTATGAGTCAACTATTTAAATCGTTCACATAATTTCGCTCCTTAAAAGAGATTTGAGTCTTAGAAAAATGAATTAGGAACTTAGTACAATAAAAATGGCACGACTCATTTAGGATTTCATAAGTACGTACCCAATGATATAGAAATGTATGTTATATAATTATATATTTTATAGTATTTTAGATCAACGCATGTAGATTGACACGTACAATTTTTAAAAGGTTTTTCCCACCATGTACAGAAAGAAGCCCACCAGAATTTGGTCAGAGTACACACTAATGCGCTGGACCCACCATGTATTTTTAAAAAATGCAGGGGACCCACAAATATGTGTATTCTATTGAAATTAGGTGGGCTTCTTTCTGTACATCCAGCCCTTCTCTTTTTAAAAAAGGTGACAATAAGATTTGCATGTTTGAGTCTTTTTTTTTTTTTTATGAAAATAGGTTTTGGAATATTAATTTTATGTGTGGTTAAAAATTTTTTAAAAAAAATATCGAATTTAGGTGCAAAATTATTTTACATAAGAATTTATGATCGAAAATAAATTTTTTAAAAAATGGAGCTCAAACGTAGACTTCAAAAAAATTGATTTCTCTTGTTTCCTTCCAACCCCCGTCGCAACCCCACCCCCCCATTCCTTTTTTGGCCTTTTTCTCATTTTGCTGCTAGTTCGAAACAGTTGGATTTTGTATTTCCCACAGATTTTTGTGAGGTCAAAGGTTGACTTTAATAGTGTTCTTTGTGAAAAAGTTCCAGCCGCTTAGTTTGATTTTGATCTGAATTAATTGTCTCATCATTAATTATACCACGCTTGCTCACTAGTAGCCATTAGCTTGATTAATTTAAAATAAAAATAACCATTGCTTAATCCACGAAGAAACTTTATCCAATTTTCCAATCATATCTTATCATTATTGGTGTGTTGACTTCTATGTTGTTACCTTCCACCATTAAACGTCGTGATTGAATTTTAGTCTATATCTGGCTTATATTTATAAATTAATTATAAATACTCGAATTATTTTTTATACACGCACTTTGAGAGATTCAGAAATATTACTCACTCACTCGTAATTAATGATATTCACAATCAACGACTGTATTAGTGATACATATATAGCAACTTGTTATTTGGCGCATTAATTTTCTAAAACAAGTAACAAGCTGCCACATAAGAATGATTACTGTAATCGCTGATTATAAAAAAACATTATTCCTTATTCGTCATCGATTCCTATTTATTTATAATTTAAACAGTTCATAAATACTCCAAAATATGCCCTTAGACTAATTGAACTTTCGATATGAATGAATAAAGACTTTTCATATTATACTTGTCAATTATGTTTCGGGTAAATATATTCACATCACAGTTATTATTTCTTATACAACATTTAATTGCACTTGAAGTTCTTAATCTTTACTCATTATAACACTTATATTCCTAAAGATTTTTCATATCATTCTTATTCTCAAACTTTTCATTAGTTAACACATTTTGTATTTGATAACAATTTTATGTTCAAAAGTCACGTTGAAATGACGCAAAACAACTTATTTTTTTTTACTTCATTTCAAAACATGAAAACAAAATATTTTGATATAAATCATTATCGAAGATGAGACGAAATAATTAATTGAAGGTTGAAAATAAGAATTTGATGAAAAAAGTTAAGGAAACAATTGTTACAATGAACAAAAATTGAGGAGTTTAAATACAATTAAAATATAATGTATCAAATAAAAATTGTGATGGTAATATAACCACTCTTATTTTCTAACATATTCATATGAACTTTTTTCCATTAAAACCCTCAAACTCAAAATTATTTTCCATTCATACCAAATAAGCATATGTCAGTTAAAACAATGGCTAACGTGACAACAGTGAGACTAGGTGGCAGTTAAAATGATGAGAAATGCTACATGTACAGAAATATTTGACTGATTTTTTGACGGATTGCCAGTTGACGGACATAAATTGGATGTTGGATGCAAAACAAATTTAAACCAGCCAACAAAGTATTGCCCCTCATCATCTGTAATGCTGTTTGTAATTTTCATATGTACAAATAGCTTTATTCTAAAAGAATTTAAACCTTATGGTTAAAACACGAAGGGTAATTTGCAGTCATTGTCCTCAACCTTTACTATCTTTTGCATTTGTGTCCCCCAACATTCATTTCAATGGGAGATGCGACAAAGCTTCCAAAATGATGCCTACAAGGTGTGGGATTTTAATTGGGTACATAGTGCGCCTATGCCGATGAAATGAAAGAGGTTCAGATAATCATTTATATATCTGTGACAATTCTAAAGACAAGCTTTTTCAAATTTCGTGGCGATCAATAATTCACAATTAAATTGGGAATAACATTTTGAAGTATTGACCGAATATAATATGGTTTAAATGCATACTTTCAATGGATAGAAAACTATGTTTCTCTTCTTAAATTTCTTGTAATCAGATCACTCTTACCTCACATTGCATGCAACCTTGATCACTTCGTCTGCCCTCGTCACTTTGACCAACGTTATATGCTGATGAGGAGACTAAAAACAAATCGTCCGTGTCATCACCTTAAAATACACTTTTAGAAAAATGCTTCATAACAAAAGAAGTTATTTTATGGTGAAGCATTTTCTAAGAAAGAGTGTTTTAGGTGGTAGGGTGGATTGTTTGGATGGCACGTAAATACACATCATCTATCCATCCGTTAATTTTTAATGTCCATGTAAGTAAATCACATTAGTCAGAGTAATTGAATAACGGAGTGACTAGGGTTGCACACAAATTGAAGTAGAAAGACTTGATTGCACGAAATTAAAGAAGAGAAATCTAGTTGTACATTCGTTGAAAGTTCAGTAATCAATGATGCACTTAATCCAATATAAGAAAGTAATGAGAAAATATGTTGTTCGAAATATAATGAAGATCAAATGATCAAAAACTCACAAATATAATCTGCAAAAATGTTTTGGAACTAAGTTCATGTACATCTGGAAACACACGATAAAGTTCACCAGGGACGGATCTAGGACCTGATTACAGGTCGGACTAATTCGTAAAAAAAAAAAAAATGACACGATTTTTTTTTACATAACTTTTTTTTCTAACTAAAAAAAATCAGTGAGTGGGGACTGGACCGGACTACAGCCCAGCCCAGCCCAGCCGCCTCCTCTATCCGTCCCTGAGTTCACGTATCATTTGGGTTTAATACTATGGTTTAAAAATAAATGTCATGTAGATGTTTCATTGTCACGTCAATGTGAATTTCTGTATTGATAAGAATAACTTTTGTAGGAGTGAGTACTTTATACGATGAACTTTAGTTCGAGGTAAAGTTAATATACTTTATACTTATTTTCAAACGCACATTTCATCTAAAAATTTGATTTTTATCCTAACCAAATGAGGACTTCACGATACATTCACAGCTAATGTTCACTTATTATCCACATACTTCATTAATTTCAATTTTTACTTTTCTTTGCACACTCCACGCTCTATTCCATAATATCGTCCAAGTGCGAAAATATACATGTACATTTCAAACAAATCTTTGCCTTGTGTTTACTCTTTTAATAGAGTTTGAACGAGAGCAGGAACCCGGTGACGAAGGATCAGAACTCTCTTTTTCTTCCGAAGAGAACCCACAACAGAATATCAGGGAATCAAAACAAAGTTCTTTTCTTCAAGATTTGATCTAATCCTTTTTATCAAAAGGTATAATCGGCTTTTTGATTCATTTATAATGATAATCTGTACCTGTTTTCTTGCTTTGAAGTCTTATGGTTCTGGAAAAATTTCAGAACTCGTACGTTCTTTCCTCGTAAATTTTTCGAAGATTTGGTAATGTATTCATGGAGATTTCCATCAAGTTCAAATTATTTTGTAGCATACTTGTATTATAAATATGAATAATGATCATAATCATGAAATTGATTACGTTATCTGATTAAAAAAATGGTTGATTTTCTTGAATGAATCTTGACGTTTATTGATTATTCGTTTAATGAATACATTCTCTCTGTCTTTATTTTCTTGATATTTTATGCCAGTTGTTTTTGTGTACACACACAGATAAGTATACCTATATAAATTATCCAGCATGAGCTTCTTTTTTATATACTTTTTGAGTAGGGCCCTCTAAGCTTTTGGGGGATAATGGATCCAAAAAGGGATGGAGAAGAAGAGAGTATTTTTCAGGTCAAACATCAATTAGGCAATTAATAATTCAAGATATGGGACGACTAAGTTGTCGAATTTATCTATATTTTATTGTTTTCATTAATACAACTTGCAGTGGAGTTTTCCATATTAGAGCAATCTGCTAACAAAGTAGGTTTCTATGAGTTTGTGTTTCTGATAATTTTTGTGCAGGTAAACCGTCACGGAAGAGCGCTGAGGGAGATTATTGAGCCGGAAGCTCGATAGATTGCTGCCATGGGAGACGAGAACATCTATACGAATGATGGAACAGTGGATTTCCGTAAAAATCCTGCTGATAAGACGAAAACCGGAAATTGGAAGGCCTGCCGTTTTATCCTTGGTAAGGTGTCTATTTGTTCTATGCATGCGGTAAATATAATAACTTTTGAGTAATTTTATTGCTATTAACGTTTTTCGACTAGGAAATGAATGCTCTGAGAGGTTGGCATACTATGGCATGAGTACTAATCTGGTGAATTATCTTAAGTCACGCCTTGGCCAATCGAATGTGACTGCATCAAACAACGTTACAAATTGGTCGGGAACTTGCTATATCACACCGTTGATTGGAGCTTTCCTGGCTGATTCCTACCTCGGAAGATACTGGACCATTGCCAGTTTCGTATTCATTTATGTTATAGTGAGTATTTTTCTCGTGTCTTCAAAATACTAATTTGATCTCACTATGAATATTTTGTTCTAGTTCTTGGGGATCCTCTGTTATTGTTTTACTGAGGCACTACAAGACAATATTAGAGATGAAAGAAGTTCAAATCTTGGGGATCTTTGTCCATGAAAATATTTTGTTATTTCAGGGAATGATACTCTTAACGTTGTCTGCTTCGGTTCATGGGCTAAAGCCTGAATGTGTTAAGGACGACTGTAATCCAACAGGATCGCAAACTGCTGTCTTTTTTGCAGCACTATACTTGATTGCACTCGGAACTGGTGGAATCAAACCCTGTGTCTCCTCCTTTGGCGCAGATCAGTTTGATGAAACTGATGAAATCGAGAGGGAAAAGAAGAGCTCCTTCTTCAATTGGTTTTATCTTTCAATTAATATCGGTGCTCTTATTGCTTCATCAGTTTTGGTATGGATACAAATGAATGTGGGATGGAGTTGGGGGTTTGGGATTCCAGCAGTTGCTATGGTCATTGCAGTTGTGTTTTTCTTCTCGGGGAGTCATCTGTATCGGTTCCAAAAACCCGGAGGGAGCCCCCTCACACGAATTTTTCAGGTGTTGGTTGCATCCATGAGAAAATATAGCGTAAAAGTTCCAGCTGACAAGTCTCTCCTATATGAAACTCCCGATATGGAATCCAACATTCAAGGAAGCCGCAAACTTGAGCACACGGAGAAGTTCAGGTAATTATATTGAATCCAGAAATCTCGATTACTTTGCAAAGTTTGTGACAATATTTTCGAATACTTAGAGATGTTTGAGACACTGCACCGAATTGCATTGAACATATTGAATTCTAGGTTCTTTGATAAGGCTGCGGTGGAGACTGAAACTGGCAATGTCAAAGGTAAGGTGGATCCCTGGAGAATTTGCACCGTTACTCAAGTTGAAGAACTCAAGTCGATAGTCAAGATTCTCCCCGTGTGGGCGTCTGGAATAGTTTTCGCAACGGTATACAGTCAGATGAGCACAATGTTTGTTCTACAAGGCAACACCATGGACCAACATATTGGCCCACATTTTGAAATCCCATCAGCATCCCTATCCCTCTTTGATACAGTCAGTGTCATTTTCTGGGTGCCCATTTACGACCAAATAATCATCCCGGTTGCAAGAAAGTTCACTCGCCATGAACGGGGATTTACGCAGCTCCAAAGAATGGGCATTGGACTTGTCATCTCGATTTTCTCCATGGTCGTTGCTGGTTCACTAGAGGTTATTCGGCTCGACAATGTGAGAAGAAATAATTACTACGATCGTAAAACGATCCCCATGTCAATCTTCTGGCAAGTGCCTCAGTACTTTTTGATTGGATGTGCAGAAGTTTTCACATTCGTTGGACAACTGGAGTTCTTTTACGACCAGGCGCCTGATGCTATGAGAAGCTTGTGCTCGGCGCTCTCTCTCACGACGGTTTCATTAGGCAACTACCTGAGTACTCTTTTAGTGACGATTGTGACCGACATTACCACAAGACACGGGAAACTTGGTTGGATTCCGGAAAACTTGAACCGGGGCCATCTCGACTACTTCTATTGGTTGTTGGCTATCCTCAGCTTAATCAACTTCTTCGTATACCTGTCGATTGCAAATTTCTACACTTACAAGAAGGTCACGGGAAAGCCTCGTTGATTCAGTTTATACACGTTTAAGTTACGCGTTTAGCACTTAATATGCTTTATTACCAGACGATGAAAAATTGTAAATACAGATGGGAACAGGGGGATGATAAGTTTGTTTTCTTCTTAATCCAAGAATCTATTGTTAATTTCTGCTAATCTTTTCTAATCTTGAAACTGTTTTCCCGGTAACGTCAAGTGCTATGAAAGAGCAGTAGAATTCAAGTTGGGAACACAAGCATGTTTGGTAAGCTTGAAAAGTTTACTTAAAAGTAAATGACTAAATTTTGAGTTAAATAATCTTTTATTTGTCAAGCTTTAACACCAACTAGTAAGTCCTTCAAATATATGAATTATTTACATATCCCTTTCAAGAATATAAAAATACACGAGAAGATAAGGCAAAGTCTAGTGAGAGGTCTAAAACTATTCTATTTCACACGTGAAACTGAATCCCCTTCCCCATCCTAACTCCCCCAAGAAAGGGAAAACAGACTGATTTTTCTTTAAGCAATTCAAATCTCATTCACTCCGACCCATCATCTTGTCCAAAAAATAGTGAATTTTCAGAGGCGGCGGCTTATTCTCTCGCTCTGCAAGTCCAATGATTCGGATAATTCAGATTCAGAGGCTCAGGCACCTGAAGGAGACACTCATAAGCAGGAGCTTCTTGCCAGAATTGTAATGCTTATAGCCCAAAAAGTTCGTCTCACTGATTACTTGGACAAAAGATCAGCATATCTGACCCAGTTTGCTGAAGAAGCCAATGCTAAAATTGACCAGATAGGAGAAAATGCCCTCGGAGAATTGGTCGGAGCTGGTGCCAGGGTCTGTTCAACTTCTTTCATATCAAATGCATAGAAAAAGCAGATTTTTTAGGAAATTTCAACAGTCAATAACTGGATTTTGTTCATTTGTTGAGCAGATAATGGAAAATATTGAGAGCCAGGTGCAAGCCTTCGAAGAATCTGCGGGGATGAAGAAATTAGAAATTGAATAGAACGAACAAACGGTAACAGACTTCGAAGACCAAATTGAGAGAGAGAGAGAAATGATGGGCTGTTCTTCAAAAATTTGAAGCCAAAAACACCAATTGAAGTAGAGAAAGCCAAGGAAGAGGCAGAGAAAATCAGGGAGCTCACCAAAAAAAATGCTGATTCAGTAACTAGAAGGAACATTTACTATGCACTGATTGGCGTAGTAGTCATTAGCATCATTGAAGCCTCAGCTGATTCAACGGACTGGCGGAAAGTTGCAGTTCTTGTGATGATTTTAGTAGATTTGCTTTCTCAACTCATCTACAAGCAGAATATGTTATCAGAAACAGAGAGAACAGAGTGACAGAATAACAAAGAAAAGAATGAGTGGAGTGCACTTTTCCCCTGTTGAACGATCTTACCATGGAAAATATAAATGCAGCATATATAGCCCCAAATACAATATCAAGAAATCTTGCTTTTCAATTGGCCTCTATGTTTGGTGATACCAACTCGGTCGCCAAAACCCACTTTGTAACTGATGCTTGTCCACAAAATATCAACATAAAATAGAAAAAAAATAATGATAAAATAGGCTGTAACCTTCTGCATTTTCATGACTCATCAGGTATATGATCTAGAAGGAATTAAAACGCCAAACTGAAGCTTTTGAGGTTCCCATGTCTTGTTACTCTAAACAGAGAACTTCTTACCGAATATGATGTAGCATGAATTATAACTCCAAATAAAATATTATTACCTGGGGCTGATATGTCAGGCTAACCTCGCTTTTGCATCAAACGTTTGTTTGGTGATACCACTATGATCACCAAAGCCATGATATGTTTGATGCTTAACAACATTTCACCCATACACATGATTAGAATAACAGGAGCCAGCACAAGTATTTTCGAAGAATGAAATTTTGCCGCGGCTAGATTAAGCCCATGTTTGAGCCTCATTTTTTAAAAATTCATTTTTTCCCAAACTCATTTTCAACTATACATTCTCCCAATAAAATAATTTACAGTAAGCCCAAAATTTTTCCATACTTACTAATCACAGACTCCAAAAAATCACTATTACAACATAGATATACTACCATATTTCTAGCTCACAGTAAGCATGCCATCTTAATCAAAGTGAAAAGAAAAGAACTGTTTGGATATTCTAGAATTGATACAGGATTGTTGACAGCTTTTCATCCTAGTTAACACCAAAGTACGGCTGTTTAGTGAAAGGAGGAAAAAGAAAGAAAAAGAAAAAGCAAACAAGCGCTACCTCATTCAAATTTTAAGAATCACATCGTACTATTTGATGCCTCGTACAAACTGGAGAGCCTGCCTTATTTACCACAGTTCCCAAAAATGTAGTTATAATGCATCATAATGGCCCTATCTTTTAAGTGCATACAATACCAAGTTGTAACTGATTAATATGAATCATGATGTCCCTCAATATGTGAAGAGCTTCAAACTTTACAGGTTTCAACATGGTCAGTGAAGTTAGTGACCTTAAATCTGAGACCAAGTAGCAGTTCTAATCACCTTAAATGAATGTCAGGGCAATCTATCCCACCTGTACATATAACGTTTATATAGGAAACGCTTGTATGCAACAAGAATTACCTAAACATAAATGCATTCTTATGAAGCACCCTTTCAGAAAGTTATCGAAACAGAATTCAAATAACTCTGAAAAGGAAGAAGTTATTTTTTTTAATATATCTTTGTGCTCGTCAAATGAATTTCTACATCAAGGGATAGTTAACTTACAGTTTGGTGTGTACAGGACACTGGCTGCAAAACTTATCTTGCTCGAACTGAAATTGAACAGTGGGAAACACTGCAATCAAAAAGAAGTGCTTCTCTTAACAAATAACCAACCCATAAGTAGCAAATCTAGGTTGTTGAATAAACAAAAGACAAGGAACGGAAACTTAACTTCCCAAAATATTTTATGCAAATTATCACGTTGAAGTACGGGTACGAATAACTGCTCTTACAAGTATGTTCCATGTAACTATAGTTGGAACCATTTTCTTACTCAGAGCATTGTTTAGATAAAAAATGGCATCTGATACTCTATTGCAAGAACAAAGCCCTTTAAGAGTAATATTATAGGAAATAATATCTGGCTGCAGCCCACTAATTAAAATGCGAGCCCAAATTACTGAAGCATTTTTACAGTCACCAGCTTTATAAAACCCCTCCATGAGGGTATTGTGCGTCACAAGATTTGGGACACAGCTCCATCTGCTAATATTTAGATATAGCAATAAAGCATTTAGGGTTTTGCCAATTGAACAGAGCCCGTGAATCAGAATGTTATGCATTCTTAAATCAGGTTTGACGCCTTTGTCAACCACTAGATCCCATAAGTTGAGAGCCATATCTACTTTCTTGCCTTGACAAAGACCATTCATTAATACGCTATATGTGATCACATCCGGCTTGTGTCCTTTCCCCAGCATTTCCTTCACAAGGTCATAAGCTTCACCAAACCTTTCAGCCTTGCATAATCCATCAATAAGAGTGTTGTAAGTAACAATGGTGGGGGTATAATTCTTCTTTCCCATGTTACCAAAGAACTTAATTGCATCCTTAATTTTAGAAGCTTGGACAAAACCATTGATTAAAGCATTGCAAACATGAGAATTTGGCTTATACCCACGTTGGGTCATGCAATCCAGAAGAGTAACTGCTTCTTCTACTCTTCCTTCTCTACACAGCCCACCAATCATAGCTGAATATGCAGAAGGATCTAAAACACCTCCTTCCCCCTCTGCCTCCTCTAATACATGTAAAGCCTTGTTCGTATACCCGTTCTTAGAAAACCCATCAACCAATATTCTATAAGTTGTTGAAGTGGCAACACAACTGCTCCTCTTCAGAAGTTCCCAGATAGAAATTGCTTCGTCCACATAACCATTCTCAAACAACCCTCTTATCAGAGTATTAAAACTAACAATGTTCCTGCAACCCTGATTTCCCATCAATTCCCACAACTCATAGCAATCTGCAATTCTCCCAATCCTAGAATACCCATTAAGCAATGCATTATATACAACAACATCCGGTGACACCTTGCTCTTAACCATCTCCTTATAAACCCTCTCAGCCCTATCTACATCCCCTGACTCACACAGCCCATGAATCAAAGAGCTGTACGTAAATAAATCCATTTTCCGCTCATTTTTTCTCATCATGTTCCAAATTTCCAAGCCCTCACTAAACTTCCCGCACTTGCACAATCCACTAATCATAATATTATAAGTAACAATATTTGGATAAACCCACGAATCATTAATTAACCTCTCCCAAATCCCATTTGCCCCCTTAAAGTTGCCATTCTTGAAACACCCATCAATCAAAATATTATAACACGTCACGTCAGGCCTCACTCCTCTATCAAGCATTTCGTCAAACACCCCCATAGCCTCATTCAAATCCCCGTTTTTCACTAATCCATTAATCAAAGTTCCATAACTATAAACATCAGGCCTCAAATTTCTTCTCCATGCGTAATTTATCAATTCTCGGCACTTATCAAACTGCTGCTTCTTACAAGCAATTTTCATCAAAATATTAAAAGTTTCTAAATTTGGTGCAACGCCCAATGTTTCAAAGTTCCTAAAGAACAACTCGGCCTTACTCAACTGATTCGAAACCACAAATGCATTCAGAAGAGTATTGTAAGACCTCACCCCGGGTTCACACCCGAAAATTTCCCTCATTTTCTGGAAGAGTTCCACTGCTTTATCTACCATTGAATTTTTCGAGTAAGCTTTCATAACAGCCAGGACCGTGTCTTCCGAGCAGGGACATTTCTGGGTTCGGATCAAATCAACTATCCGCGACACGTGAGGGAGGAGTTTCGAATCGGACGAAAGGGATAGGCGGTGGAGGATGTGGTACAAAACGGCGTCGGAATGGGTGTAACCCGGGTGGTGAGTCGCCGAGTCAAACAGGTGGAGAGCTGAAATAGGGTTCTTTTCCGACTTAAGGAGACTCAGGAGGATTTTAGGAGTAAGGGTTTTGGGCAAAGACAGCTGGGCCATAAGAGAGAGAGTTTAAGCTTTAGAGTCTCATTTTAACTATCAAAACTACAAATTTTTATGAAGACATTTCCTCGTTGCCAACTTCGAAGGAAGAAATGTTCAATTCCTCTAGACTGATTAACCACTCGGCTAAATTATATTATTGGTTAGAACTTAATTCCGATTATTACTCAAAATATAACCCAATTGTCATTATCGATGGATTTCGTCTCTTTGCTTTGACGGAAATGCTCGTATGGCTCACGGAATTCCAACATGATGGCCTTTCCCAATGAAATGTTGCATGCTCATTAAATCACCAATCCTTTTCTTAACTAAAACACAAACTCTAGCCTTCAAAAACAGCTTTGAATTTGCAAAGAACAATGTTATTCAACACAACTAGTGCTTAGTATCAGTTTAGGTGTTTATTCTTTAATAATTGGACATCTTAAACCCTAAACCAGTTATTCTCTCCAAAATGCAATCATCGGTGTCATCCCATAGTGCAGAATGTGCCATTGTTGTCAAATTCCGGTAGTGAAGATGTCTTGGACAGAATCCAACCCAGGAAGAATGTTTAAGAGGATGTTGTTCCTATGCACGACACGATGCTTGTGATCTTTTCGTCTGGGTGGATGCGGTGCATGATGCTTGTGATCTTTTCGTCTCGTTGGATCCTCCTCTTTCTGTACGCTAAAAGTCTGTATTTTATGCATGATTCGAAACTCTTAACATCAAGGAGGCAAAACATACACGAATGCACAAGAAAACCTTATTTTATCAGTTTGGATTTTGGGAATTGCTTGGTTACTTTGTTATCAGATTATTTCGTTGAATTTGGCGTAATTCAAATATGAATGGGGTTTTTTTATATTCTACTGTCCTGGTGGTCACTCAGCTGCAAAATTTGGTGTATATTTAGGCTCAAGATCAGTTGCCTAGGTTCTATCTTTTGGACAAGGTATGAACAAGAACAAATTAAAACAAGAAAATAGAAAGCAGGACGCAGAGAATCAATAAGCTCAAACCAAAAAAGATCATAACACAAATCAGCAACCAAGCATGCACTAAAAGCAGCAAGCATAAGTCTTATTTATTTTTACAGTCCCCTCATCATCTCTATACCAATCTTGCGAATCAAGAAGTAAAGCAATTGAAACTTATGTGTAATTTCACAAATGAAGAAGAAAGATGCATCTCATACCTGCACTGGTGCATCAGATCTGTCGTGTTACCCTCTTATTTTGGTATGGAAAGCCATAAACACTACAAGTCATCTTTTTCATATCAAACTTAGGCAGAATTTCATGCTTTATGCCTGCTCTGCAACGAGCCATTTTGCATTAAGTTGGGCTTTCCCCTTTTTCCTGCACTCTAATATGATCAAATTTACAAGCATATCTTGTAAAATATGAGCAACCCGAAATCCTTCTAAAGCCCAAATGTCCATTTCTCCTACTCGTTGTCCTCCTTGTTTTGCCCTCCTTCTAAGGGGATGTTTTGATGTGGCTCCATTATGAGATATGACATCTTTCTCTAATTGCCTCATCCTTTCAGTTTTCTTTCTGCCTCTTTTAAGTAATATACCACCCTGGTGACAGGATTGTTTAGGTATCAACACGATGTCAAAACTTCTTCCTATTGTTTGCATTCAAAATATTCTTATATAACAAGTCAAGTACGTTGCAAATTTGTAGCAATCATCCACACTCTACTCGCTCATCCTTGCTATCTTTTATATCCGCCATTGCATGCAGGGGCGGATCCAGAAAGTTTTTCCAGTGTGGGCGATATTAGCAAAGGTATAAAAAATAACAACATTATAACATAAACATTATACTAAAAATGAAATACCTTACAACTGTTCTTTATGAGTTTTCATACTCTGATATCTTTATATAATCGCAATCTTTAAAAATATATATTTCTCCACATAAACAATAAGGCTATCATTCATTCATTCATCTCCAATCCAATTACGCAATTTATCCTTCACAAGAAACTTTCTTTTATAAAATCCTTCCATAACTATTTTACTATAAAATAAACAAGTGTTAATTTAAGATAAAGAAAATGCATAATTAAGATTCTGAAGCATGACACAAGAATTCAAATTATCACACTATCCAACACATGTTTTGAAATCGGAAGACTAGAGTAGTCACAATTATAAATTATTTGGCCCGCCTCCCATCTCAAAATTTTTTTAATAGTTATATTGAATTATATTTAGCCCATTTTAGATTTTTTTTTTTTTAAACCTGGGCTGTGGGAATTGTATGTTAAAGGGAAATGTTTGTTATATAAAGGGAAATGTTCTGTTAAGAATTAAGGGAAAGGTCTATTAATTATTTGACCCATTTCAGAATTATTTTTTTTAAAACATGGGCTGTGGGGATGGCCCAAAATTCAGTGCAAGCATATGATTGCATTGGGCGTGCATAGGGTCCGCCCCTGATTGCATGGGCACATGGAATTTCGACAGTTCCCACCTCCTACAAGCACAAGCATGTGCAGTAGATCAAGAGGTAATTTAACCTTGTTATGTTCTAGGGTTTGGTATTGGATTGATACTTGTATAATTGAACAAAATCGAGCACACATAGGTACAAAAACAATTGTAAGCAAATTTAAAAGTTGCTTAAGATTTCTATATAGCTATGTTTCTTCTGTAGGTAGTGATGCAAGAGTCATCCGCAGTATATCTTAGTTGAAGTGGGACACGCATTTTAAAAGCTAGCCTCTTGTTATTGGGCCGCGTGGATCCTTTTACTAACTGCTTAAAAGAGACTATTTGGGAATACAAAAGGGATTAGCTTCACTTGACTCTCGAGTGCTTCTTTTACTCTCTCTGTAAGTTCCACGATTCTAAAGCTCTAGTTCTTTAAGTTCAATATTTGATTACTCTCGTCTTCTGTAAATTCTTGTAGATCAGATGTTGAAATATAAGATCTAGCAAATAGATCTTACTATTTCATCCTATATTGGGTAAGTCAAAAGGCAAATTAACCATCGTTCTATTTTAGGTTAGGTATTTGATCGATACTTGTATAATTGACATAGATCGTTGAATCCTTTGGATATTTGGTTTTATTATGACTGCTTTGCAAATTTTATAGTTCATATGCACCTAGGTTGTCGATCTGATCCACGATGTGGAGCAATTGATTGAAATGCATCATCATACAATGCATTCACTTTCTTTACTTTTTTGCAAGTTCATATCCATCAAACTAAGTATTTGGTGGTGTGTTAAATGATTTTCACAATCTTTAAATACATCAAAATCCATTGATCCATTCTCAAAATGCATTAGCTCGGCGAAGGAAAAAGATAAAAATCTAGGTTTAATCTATAACTAAATGGACTCAATTGAAATGTCGATTATTGCAATTGATTTTTCATAATGGAATCCGAACGACACTTGAAAAAGATAAAAATCTAGGTTTAATCCATAACTAAATGGACTCAATTGAAATGTCGATTATTGCAATTGTTTTTTCATAATGGAATCCGAACGACACTTAGTCATTACAATTTATTGAAAATCCCTTCTCTAATTTCATATTGTAAATTCTGGGCTGTGGGGATTGTCGGTTAAAGGGGAAGATTTGTTATATAAAGGGAAAGGTCTTTTAATTATTTGGCCTATTTCAAAAAAAAAATTTCTTTTTTTAAACATGGGTAGTGGGAATGGCCCAAAATTCAGTGCAAGCATATGCCTGCACCGGGCCTGCACAGGGTCCGCCCATGATTGCATGGGCACATGGGATTTCGACAATTCCCACCTCCTACAAGCACAAGCATGTGCAGTAGATCAAGAGGTAATTTAACTTTGTTCTGTTCTAGGGTTTGGTATTTGGTTGATACTTGTATAATTGAACAAAATTGAGCACACATAGGTACAAAAACAATTGTAAGCAAATTTAAAAGTTGCTTAAGATTTCTATATATTGATAATGGATAGCTATGTTTCTTCTGTAGGTAGTGATGCAAGAGTCGTCGGCAGTATATCTTAGTTGAAGCAGGACATGCATTTTAACAACTAGCCTCTTGTTACTGGGCCACGTGGATCCTTTTACTAACTGCTTAAAAGAGACGATTTGGGAATAAAAAAGGGATTAGCTTCATTTGACTCTCGAGTGCTTCTCTTACTCTCTCTATAAGTTCCACGATTCTAAAGCTCTAGTTCTTTAAGTTCAATATTTGATTACTCCAGTCTTCTGTAAATTATTGTAGATTAGATGTTGAAATATAAGATCTAGCAAATAGATCTTACTATTTCATCCTATATTGGGTAAGTCAAAAGGCAAATTAACCATCGTTCTATTTTAGGGTTAGGTATTTGATCGATACTTGTATAATTGACATATATCGTTGAATCCTTTGTATATTTGGTTTTATTACGGCTGCTTTGCAAATTTTATAGTTCATATGCACCTAGGTTGCCGATCTGATCCACGATGTGGAGCAATTAATTGAAATGCATCATCATACAATGCATTCACTTTCTTTACTTTTTTGCAAGTTCATATCAGGTGGTGTGTTAAATGATTTTCACAATCTTTAAATACATTAAAATCCATTTATCCATTCTCAAAATGCATTAGCTCGGTGAAGGAAAAAGATAAAAATCTAGGTTCAATCCATAACTAAATGGACTCAATTGAAATGTCGATTATTGCAATGAATTTTTCACAATGGAATTCAAACGGCACTTTGTCAACACAATTTATTGAAAACCCCTTCTACTCTAATTTCATATTAAAAAATAAAAAAATCAACTTTTTTTTTTCTTTCTCCTTGCATTCTCCCGCCTCCCTCCCCTCCCCCGCCTTTCTCCGCCCACTCCCCCACCATCCAGTCTCGTCCACAACTTGCCTAAAAAATCATTTTTAGTAAATGAAGATATGAATTCATATGAATTTTGTTCAATGCCTCTTGTGCTCCCACTCTCGTTCCCTCTGCTTAAGCTAGTTAGAGAGATGTTTATGCAATCATGTATGCGTTTGCCATAATGTCGCAATGAATCTTCAGTTTTGGGGAGAATGAAAGCAAATTAGAAACTAAGAATCTAATTATGAAAACAAATTCTGTTTCAGGCTTGGAATTAAGATTTTTGAACTTGAATTGTTGAGATAAATCTCTGTTTTCAGGTTTAAATTCGTGGGAAAAAAAGGGATGGGAAGAAAACAGGGTGACAAGGGGAAGAAAAATGTTAAAGCTCCTTTGCGCAAAGATAAAGACATTGAGGCTTGGCATGTAAATTCAATTTTTGGTAAATATTCTGAGGCAGAAATGTTATCCCAGCTAAATGTAATTGCTCTGGATCCTTGTAAGCAAGAATTTTCGCGGGATAAAATTCAGCCCCTGTGTGATCAGATTCTTAGGCTGCGAAAAGTCATGGCACTTACTGATTCTGAAATTCCTTGGGCAAGTCCTAAGCATTATCTTCTTTTTCACATGCTATGTTATCTGTAATTCATATATATTTAGCTTGTTATTTGTGTTGCTCGTCCATGATCGCCAGTGTTTACTACACAAGATATGCATGTTTTCTTACTGAATCCTTTGTGTTTAGACTTGGAACATTGTTTAGAAGAAGCAGAACTGGTTTTAATGAGTGTAAAAGTTGCTTGGTTATTAAACGAGCTAACTTCAATATAGACTTGTCCAAAAACTTGATACCATGTGGCCATTGGCCACTATATTTATCCCCTGTTTGATAGCTTTTTTTTTTTCTGAGAAGAATGAGTTTTTGAATAGTAAATTTTTGGAGAATGTGTTGTTAGAAAGTAGGAAAAAGTTTTGGGTTTAGATGAAAAATATTTTACCTTAAGAATGTATGGTTAAAAATGAGTATTAAAAAAACAGAGTTTTAAAATAATGGTTACCAAATAGGGGCATATTTAACCTTCTATGTTTTAATCTTCTAGTGTCTTGGATAGTGTCTTGAGCAATACACATAGTGCTATTGTTTTGGCTTTTAAGAAAAAACTATTCCTAATAGAAAAACAAGGAAAAAGAAAAGAAATAATTTTTGGGATTTGGTTGCCGTATATGCATCTTTAAACGGTTCAACTTCGTGGTACAAAAGAATTAGTTTTCTTGTCCAAATTAAGAGGAATCTTAATAAAAATTAATGCTTAGAAATGTAAGTGCTTGTTGGTATTGTTTTTTAAGTACTTATAAGTAGTGAGTCTTATAGAATGTGTGGATAATAAGTAGATAGTAAGTTATGGGTGCTACGAAATGTGTAGATAAAAGATATACAAGGCGTGCCTTATGTGAGGCTTTTGTTAAATACCTTGAACCATCCGCCTTGAGTACCATTCCTTAAGATTTATGTCTCCACCAATTGAGGATTTTGCCTCAAGGCTATGGCTCAGGCATGCGCCCATTTGTCTTTTCTTTTGTGGAATTTTTATTACTGGTCTCAACTTTTTGGCCTATGTTATATAGCCTGGAGCATTTTGTGGGGCCTTTTGTTTTTGTTTTTTTTCCCCCATCTTCACACAGCAGGAGGAGGGGAAGGAGAAGGCACCATTGCTAGTGGAGAATAATTATAGAGAATGAGTGTGTATATTATTCTTCGATGATATTCCTGTCCTCAATCAACAGGTTCACAGACAAACCTCTAAGCTGGGGTTCTCTTTAGATTGATTCTTCAAGTTACATCTTAACTCTCATTTCTATAATTTAGAGTCTTCCTAAAGAACCTCAATTTGTCATGTATATCTTTCAGAACAAACTCGTAGAGCATTAAATTTTTATTTTAACCTTCTTTCAGCATATGGAGAAGACAAATAAGTTTTGTGAAAGAGAAGTCTCTTTAGCTTTCACGTGCATTAGGGAGATGAAGTGTTGTGTGGATATGTATAATAATATTATCATTCCCTTTTTTCTTTTATAGTGCTCCTCTTTCCTTAAGAACATAATCAAATTTACTTAATCTGAAGTGCTGTTTACTTAAACAATGTCATGATTGCTTATCTATTCCAGAGAAAGCGAAAACTGCAGGAATTTGTCAAAGATGAGCTGAGAACAACTCCTGGAAATGTGGTACCCAAACAAAATGGCGTGAAATTGAGTAGAGGGCAGTCACCCCATGCCTCTTCTGTTGCATGCTTGCTCAATTCAGTTCACCCTACTGAGACTTTTGACAAGAAAATTCGTAAGTCACATAGTTCAGGCAGTTTAATGACATTTGATGATACATTGCCTGAGGAACAGATATCTATAGAATTATCCTTCCTTGATGATTTAATAGATTGAAATCCACCCAGTAAAGATATGCCTCCTGTAGTAGATTCAGATGAATCTATGAATGTTTCAGATCCATTGAGGTCTGAAAACCGGACTCCCAATGAGGTAGCGTCACTGAATCTTTATGTTGTAATTCACATTTCAGACTCAGGCACATTGGACAGGCCAGAAAGGAGGCAACTTCAACCACCTTTCCAATCAATCAGGTTACCAAGCTTCATTAGTGAGCATCTTCAAAGAAAAGTTGTTCCAGTTGGGCCTCGATTCCAGGCTGATGTTCACAAGTGGAATGGACCAGTGGAGAAGAGCCTTCTTATTGGTGTATTTAAGAATGACTTTTGGGATTCAAGGTGGTTGGGCACTAAAGTGTGGCCCATTGAAGTTGGAACTGTGAAAACCAGAGGGAGAATGAATGAAAAAGGAAGACCTGGCCCTTGTAGATGTGTCACACCAGGATCTGTTGATTGCATTAGACGCCACATTCTTGAGAGGAGGCAACTTCTTCAACGAGATCTTGGCCATGCTTTCTTTGGATGGAAGTTCTATGAGATGGGTGAACAAGTTTCAAAATCGTGGACATGAAAGGAACAGCAAAGATTCAAATCAATGGTGAAAATGAAACCACAATCGAATGGAAATAACTTTTTGAAACAAGCTTCTAAGTATTTTACAACCACGTCCAAGGTAACGATCATCAGTTACTATTTCAATGTCATTATTCTGCAGTGCTTGAGCATGCAGACAAGGTCACCCCTAAAACAAGTTGATTCTGATGATGACGAGGTGGAGGACTTCAATTCCATGGGCTTGCAAAAGAGATGTAAAGGGAAAAAAGCCATCAAGACTCGATATTTGCATGTGGCTTCTTAGTCCCTAGGAGTTCACAATATCTAATACCATGGCCCTGGTCTCATAGAAGGTTTGTCATTTAGCCTTATTTTCTAATCACTTTTTTTCCCTTCTGGGCACAAATGTTTTTCTTGGTTTTACAGGAAATACATCATCATTTCAGTTAGAGTTTGATCAAGTCCGTTGCAACCAGATAAGATGGACGATTTGGCACATTAAGTTGCTTTTTCTCTCCACTTTTCTTTCAAGCGTCGTCTATCTTGGTTAGTCCTCACTGCAATCCCTGCTAAAGAACATGCATCGGATTTCTTTAACGGTTCTGAAAGCAATCATGAGAAAGAATGGACGATTTTGTTTTCTGCTTCACATTGTAATAGCCATACATACTACTGATCATGTGCACCCAACAAAGTAGATAGATTTATGTTCTCGTGTATTATGGGTATAATTCTTATTCCTGCATTTTACATGTCTATACAAGACTATGAAACATGGTGGAATTCGGACTTTATCTTTGCTTGTAACATTTCTTAGTAAAGAATTTGAACCCAGATTGCTTGAAAAATGATTTTGTTACTGTCTATATTGATGGAACAAGAGGTATTATATTTTTCGACTGACTTTTAGATCTTCAGTATGTGACCCGACTTGGTGCTAATTAAGATTCATAGAAAGCTTAAATTTGGTGTTCTGTTCTATGTAAATAAAAGCTGTACAGAAAATATAGATCATGTCTTCTAAATTAGTTTCTTCAATTAGGGACATCAAAGAAACAAATGCTTTTGTGATTTTCTTTAAGTCTACTGATTGAATCTGGGCACGAAAATTATTGATCCAAGTCTACTGCCAAACTGCATGGTCATATTAATTAGTAATGCCGAACTTCCATTTATAACTTTTTTATGCCACACATACACATCATTGTATACACACATTAAACATATCGAATGTTATTTCTAACGAGAAATAAGGAAAAGTCCTCTCCATACCTACAGTCAAGACGAGATTAGGACAGATTCCAAAGCAGGAGAGGAATTGGCAATCGCTGCAAAAGAACAACCGGGAGATGTGAGCAAAAAGTTTACATGCCACAAGTCACCCTCATCTAATCAAATAATTAGCTCGAGGATGGATGCCTTTTTTATATTTATTGAAAGGGCCTTCAAGTTTTCAAGACCGACTGTATGAAGTAACTCAAGTATGGTTCACGAGTTAAGCCTTAGCCAATGACGGATCCAAAAATTCGAGTAAGTTAGGGCGGATTCAGGTGAGCGTGTGGCAACCGATCGAGCGACCATCGAGCGGTCGTCCAATGTATAGAAATAAAAATTCCGACAAAGCCAGCACAGCTGGCCACCGGCACTAGCCTTAGCAGAGGGGCTTATGTTCACACGTATACAATGACTAGTCATCAATTGAAAGCTAGCAAGAAGTTTGTAGGTAGATGGATCAAAGTAATCTTCAATTCAAATAGTGAGTAATGTATGATAGTCGTAGAGTGCAATTTTAGTCGAAGAATATTTGTTTGGCAACCTTATTTTTAATTTCACAAGGTTAATTACGGGAACTTGACATGGCATTGGATTACGAGCCTCTGTCTATTTTTCTTGCATGTCTTCTTTTTTATCCACTTGACCAAAAGCATGTTGGGATGTTTTTCTTGCAACTTTTTGACTTTGTCATTTATAACTCGATCAAAATATGAACTCAAAAGAACCATAGCTGCTAACAACTTTTATTCTTGTTGATTTTCATATAGCTTGCTGCAGTCACCTCTTTTGTTACTTTTTCAAAATGTTTTTGTCCTTTTATACGCATTTTTCTTTCGTAATTTAACTTTGTACGAGTCTATGAGAAATATTTTATAAGAAGGGCAGTTTTGGTTTGTAATATTCATAAAACCGAATGGTGGCTCTCGGGATGTGAGATTTGAGTAGAACTACACTTATCTTTCCGACTGTGAATTTACTTATAGTGATATATTAAGCATTCACTTGTATTGCGACTTGATCCACGACACGAAATATTATGAGAAAATGGTATCCGAGTATGTCTTGCGTCTTTGGGCTATGTTACGTAGCGTTCGGGGTATGGTTCATTTTTCAATTCGACCATCTTCGTGCAAGGTCAAGCATACTTATAAGCTACTGTTTTGCTATGTAGAAGTTGTTGACCCCATTTTCCGTAAAGGTTATGTGGACAACAAATGTCAGGCACACTCGCGTCCACGTAAACAAATCCCAACACATTTTGATTGGGATCTACGGAGAAGGTGACGTTTATGGACGTGGGAAATGCTCTATAACACAAGATAAAAATGTTTGAGTATCGATAATATGATCAAAGGTGATTGCATATTTAACTAACAATCACAAATAACTCAACCAAAGTAAAAATAAGCAAGAGAGAAGATAAAGTATGCTTTGAAGCATAAAGAGTTACATTAGATTCAAATGTTACAAGAATTGCTTATTTATAGAGTTTTGGCCGAAGTGATAACCGTTGGATAAGAACCACTTGGCTACATCTCTCAGGTCGAACATTCACATCACTTAGTCTACTATGCATTTAATACATTTACAATAGGTCAGTCACCTTATACCCTAGGCTGGCAATCCTGACATTCATTATTACAAACGTTACACCAATCATTCTTAAAAATTGCTTGCAAATCCTCTAAAAGACAGCAAGAGCTTCAGCCAATGGAGCTTCAGATTGGAGCGAGGGCTTCGGCCGAAGGGAGATTCATATTGGCGATTTTCGGTGTCAAGAGCTTTGGGACAGAGAATTTCAGCTTCTTCTTTGACTTCTTATATATTTCTTCGATTTCAGAGGTTCGGCCACTTAGATAGAGCTTCAGATGAAGCGATGGATCACCACTCTATTTTTTATTTTTTTTACAGTAGGTAGCACCTCATTTCAACCATGGAGTTTTTGCTTACACATGGCGCTTTGGGTGAGGCGTCGATTCGTCATCTTTACCTATAACTTTGGTTCTTTTTTTATGGTGCGAGGTGTAGGCTTTTTGTTTAAATTTCTTTTTGAGCCTCGATTTTAAGTTTTGGGCTTCTTCTTGAGCCTCAATTTTGAGACGTAACAATAGTATCCCAAGTCTATGTATGATTATCTATGTCATGCATTGACTTTTTATTTTGAGAAGTAATATGCTGATATAGCATGTCATTTGCTTGACTTGATGGTTCCACCTGCTATTACACTTTCAGTGAAACCCTTTAATTTTTGTAGAAGCCTTAATTTGAATGTTGAGTTGTTCTGAAGAGACTAAAATAATGCTTTAGTATAGCCAAAAATTGATGCAGAGATGAGGCTCTGAAATGCTGAAGTTATGCTTTAGTTTGCTGAAATTTGATGTTTATGTGAAGTAAAGATAAAGAGTTTTTAAGGTCATCTTTGGAGGTTTGAATGTAAGCTCTTTTTTGTACGCTCCCTTAACAAGTGCTCAAGTTTCCCTACATGGTAGATGATTCATCCATACAGAGACTTCACCCATGATTTTCCAGCTTCATCCATGGGCGGCATATGATGTTAACCTTAGAGAAATGGAAGCAGTCCCTTTTTGGGATCCCGCTCTTACTTCCTTATATGATGGATGGTTCATCTATGAAGAGATTTTTCCTATGATGATTAGCTTCATCCATAGAAGGTTTATGATGTCAGCCTTAAAGAATTTGGAGGTGATCCCTTTTTGGGATCCGCCTTTTCTCTAAGACACTCATGCTTCCCTACATTGTGGATGGTTCATCCATACAAAAGACTTTTCCCATGATGATTGGCTTCACCCATGGAGGCTCACAATGCCAAACTTAGAGAATTTAGAGGTGGTCCCTTTTGGGATCCACCTCTTCTTTGAGTTGCTCATGATTCCCTACATGGTAGATGGTATATCCATACAAAAGCTTCTCCCATGATAATCAGTTTCATCCATGGGAGGCTCATTATGTCAGCCTTAGAGAATTTGGAGGTGGTCCTTTTCGAGATCTACATCTTCTCCGAAGCGCTCATGCTTCCCTACATGGTGGATAATTCATCCATGTAGAAGCTTCTCCCATGATGATCGGCTTTATCCATAGGAGGCTCATGATGTCAACCTTAGAGAATTTGGAGGTAGCCCAATTTGGGATCCACCTCTTCTCCGAGACGTTCATGCTTCCTTACATGGTGGATGGTATATCCATACAGAAGCTTCTCCCGTGATAACCAGTTTCATCCATGGGAGGTTCGTGATGTCAACCTTAAAGAATTTGGTGGTGGTCCCTTTTAGAATCCACATCTTCTTCGAGGCACTCGTGCTTCCCTACATAGTGGATGGTATATTCATGCAGAGACATCTCCCATGATAGTCAATTTCATTCATGGAATGCTCATGGTGTCAACCTTAAAGAATTTGGAGGTGATCCCTTTTTGGGATCTACATTTTCTCTATGATGCTCACGCTTTCCTACATTGTGGATGATTTATCCATACATAAGTTTTTCCTAGGATGACCAGCTTCATCATGGGAGGCTCACGATGTCAACCTTAGAGAATTTGGAAGTGGTCTCTTTCGGGATCCACATCTTCTCCGAGACGCTCATGTTTTCTTTCATGGTGGATGGTTCATCCATTCACAGGCTTCTCCCATAATGATCAACTTCATCCAAAGGAGGCATATGATAACCTTGGTGAATTTGGAGGTCCGAGGCACTCATACATCCCCACATGGTAGATGATTCATCTATGTAAAGGTTTCTCCCATGAAGATCAGCTTCAACCTTAGAGGCTTATGATGTCAACCTTAGAGAATTTGGAGGTAGTCCCTTTCCGGATCCACCTATTCTCCGAGACGCTCACGCTTCCCTACATGGTGGATGGTTCATCCATGTAGAGGCTTTTCCCATGATGATCAGCTTCATTCATGGGAAGCTTATGATGTCAACCTTAGAGAATTTAGAGGTGATCCATTTTGGGATTCACTTCTTCTCTAAGGCACACATACTTTTCTACATGGTGGATGGTATATTCATGCAGAGACATCTCTCATGATGATCAGTTTCATCCATGGGAAGCTCATGATGTCAACCTTAGAGAATATGGAGGTGATCCCCTTTTGGGATCCACCTCTTTTTCGAGGCGCTCATACTTCCCTATATAGTGAATGATATATCTATGAAGAGGCTTTTCCCATGATGATCAGCCTCATCTGTATGAGGCTCATGATGCCAACCTTAGAGAATTTGGAAATGGTCCCTTTTGGGATCCACCTCTTCTCCAAGACGCTCATACTTCCCTACGTAATGGTATATCCATGTAGAGGCTTCTCCCATGATAATCAGCTTCATTCATGGGAGGCTCATGATGTCAACTTTAGAAAATTTGGAGGTGGTCCCTTTTAGGATCCACCTCTTTTCCGAGGCGATTATACTTCCCTACATGGTGGATGATTCATCCATGTAGATGCTTCTCCCATGATGATCAGCTTCATCCGTATAGGCTCATGAAGTTAACCTTAGAGAATTTGGAAGTGGTCCCTTTTAGAATCCACATTTTCTCTAAAACACTCATACTTCCCTAGATGGTGGATGTTATATCCATGTAAAGGCTTCTCCCATATTGATCAGCTTCATCCATGGGAGGCTCATGATGTCAACTTCAGAGAATTTGGAGGTGGTCCCTTTTAGGATCCACCTCTTCTCTGAGGCGATCATACTTCCCTAATTGGTGGATGATTCATCCATGTAAACGCTTCTTTCATGATGTTCAGTTTCATCTATGGGAGACATATAATGTCAACCTTGGAGAATTTGGAGGTGATCCCTTTTGAAATCCACCTCTTCTCCGAGACGTTCATGCAGCCTCATCCATGGGAGGCATATGATAACCTTGGAGAATTTAGAGGTGGTCCCTTTTGGGATCCACTTCTTCTTCGAGATGCTCATGCTTCCCTACTTGATAGATAGTTCATCTATGTAGAGGCTTCTTTCATGGTATTCAGCTTCATCCATGGGGTTTCATCTTTATAGGTATCTGAGGCAAGCCTCCATTAGGGTGCTTCTCACCTCTCCTTTCGAAGTAGATTACTTCTTTGTATAGGAGTAGCTTATCCATGTCAAGGGTTTCCCATGGTGGATGGTTCATCCATGGGGGCTGACGCATAGGTAAAGATAAGGTCTTACATGGTGAATATGTGAAAGGCCGTGCTTCTACATATGCCAAATATAAAAATTGCTTTCAAGTCCTCCAGTAATTTCACACCTAGGTCCTTCAACTTTTGAACTTGTACATCATATTTTGACTTTTATTTCAATCATACCCTTAATAAATTGCATTCAAAGTCTTTCAACTTTCAAAACATCTAACTTCAATCCCTAATTTCACATTTTTGTACGATTTTAGTCATTAACTCTTCTTTTGCGTTGTTCCCCTTCAATTTGATTTTTTTTTTTTGCTTATCAGTTGATAGAAACCCCATTCTTCAGTGTTGCTCCCTTCATAGCATCTTCTTCAAAGGCCCCCCTTTATAAAAGGGTCTTCCAATAGCCTCTTCATTAAAAACTTCCCTTTTAGGAGGTCTCCTTATTTGAAGTCACTTCTTCAAAGACATCTTCCTTTTCCAGGGGGTTTTATTCATGATCTCTTTTTTGGAGACCTCCCACTTTCATGAGGTCTACTTATTCAAAACCACTTCTTTAGCAGCCTCCCCCCTTTTCAGAGGGTCCTCTTCTTGGCCTCATCGTTGGAATCCTCCTCCTTTCAAGGGTCTACTTATTCAATGTCACTTCTTTAGCGACATTCCCCTTTTTAGAGAGTCTTCTTATTCATAACCTCTTATTCAGAGACCTCTCCCTTTCAGGGGTCTACTTATTTAAAGTCACTTCTTAAGTGGGCTCTCCCGTTTCAAGGGATAATCTTTGTGGGAGACATCCCCCTTTCAGGGGATCTACTTATCTTCAGCGGCCTCCCCTTTTTCAGGGAGTCTTCTCATTCGTGGCCTCTTCATTGGAAACCTCCTTTTTTAGGGGGTCTACTTATTCAAAGTCACATTTTCAGTGGCATCTCCCTTTTTTAAGGGGGTCTTGTTATTCATGGTCTTTTTGTTGGTGACCTCTCCCTTTTAGAAGGTCTACTTATTCAAGGCCACTTCTTGAGCAACCTCCCCCTTCTTCGGTAGGTCTTCTTATTCACGACTTCTTCATTGGAGACTTCCCCCTTTCAGGTTGTCTATTTATTCAAAGTCACTTCTTCAGCAGTCTCCCCCTTTTAAGGGGGTCTTATAAATTGATTTCTATCTTAATATATTCATTTTTTCAAGAAATATCATCAATACAAATATTGATGTCAATTCTAAATCTCTTTCTTGGAGCTTTCACTTGTTCTTTTTTCAAGAAAAATCATTTTCAAAGGGGAAGCCAAATAAATATTCCGGCAAGCTTTTTCCATGGGAATGGTTGTGGTTGTAGTGGCATTTCCCATAGACGACGTCAATCTGTTGACCCCATCTTTCGTAATGGTTACGTGGAGAACATATACATGGCTCACTCGCATCCACGCAAGCAAATTTCAACACGTTTTGATCGGATATCCGAATAAAGAAAGATTACGTTTATGGACGTAAGAGATGCTCTATGACATGAAACAAAAATGTTCTAACACCGACAATATGATCGAATGTGATTGCATATTTAATTAACAATCACAAACAACTCAACCAAATTGAAAAATAAGCGAGAGATAAGATAAGAGTATGGTTTAAGTGTAAAGAGTTGTATTGAATTCAAATGCTACAAGAATTACTTATTTATAGAGTTCTATCTGAAGTGATAGTCATTAGATAAGAACCACATGTCTAATCTCCTAAGTAGAAGTCTCACATCACTCAGTCTGCTATGCATTTAATACATTGACAACGGGTCAACCACCTTAAGCTGACAATCATAACATTTTTATTATTACAAACGTTAAATTAATTATTTTTAAAGATTGTCTGTAGATCCTCTAAAAAACGGTAAGAGTTTCAGCCAAAGGGAGCTTCGAATTGGAGTGAGGGCTTCGACCAAATGGAGCTTCGTATTGGATGTTTTCGATATCAAGAGTTTCGGAATAGAGAGTTTCGACTTCTTCTTTGACTTCTTATATAGTGCTTCGGTTTCAAAACTTGAGCGACTTAGATAGTGCTTCGGATGAAGCAATTGATCACCTCTCTATTGTTGTTTTAAAGCAAGTGGCGCCTCGCTTCGGCAATAAAACTTCTGCTTACACATGACACTTTGAGTGAGGCATCGATTTGTCATATTTACATATGACTTCAATTCGATTTTTTATGACGCGGATTGTGGACATTCTGTTTGGATTTCTTTGTGAGCCTCAGTTTTGAGGTGTGGACTTTTTCTTGAGCCTCGGTTTTAAGGCGTAATAGAAATTTATTTTGCATTTTTCACACTCGCTATGAACCTCCCAACCCAGAAGAAAGGGGAAAACAAAGACAAAACTTTCATTTCAACAAATCTACCAATATATAATTTATCATTAACCAACTACTATAACAGATATATACCCACCAATTCAAGAAATATGACTTGTCTTAATTCACTAGCATTTCAGACATGTATTTCGATTTTCGACAAAGTTTGAGAGCTTTTGAAGCATTAGCACTGTTTAATGCGCCGGCTTCGCCATGAACAATCACTACATCCAGTAGAATTGAAACTGGGATTTTGAAGGAAATCAGAAATACGAAACGTGGAAATTAACCTCAGAAAATGTACGACTGTGTCCATGACGAGCGCTTTATTGATTCCACAGTGTTCAACTTAACTTGCATTTTTCATATTCATTCAACCGGGAAATCTTTTCACAGCTTCCAACAACTGACCCTGAGAAATCCGAGTCCCAGAAATTCTGCAAACCCCGACTCACCTCAATCTTCAAGCAGCTACCAAGAGGGTAAAAGAGTTGCAATACATCTTGACGATCTGGATAGAGAAAAGAACACATTAAGATGGTACATACACAGTTACAGATACGTATATGGATACACGCACGCGCACGCGCCACACACACTGATTGAGATAAATAGGCTTTGAGTTGGTGCAATTCCCTTTTAGACCAAGAAAAATGAGATATATTCGTCCATTACACACACTAATCATTATTTTCCTTTTCTGGTGGGAAATCCACTATGTTTTGTTTGTTGAAGTGAATAGGACTAACAAAAAGCTTCTCCTACAACCTGTGCACCAATCATTACTCAAACTAGCACCCTAAGTTATAAAGATGTCTGAACACAAATTTCGACAACTCGACCAGGTTTACATAATCGGTGCTTAGGAGATCGTTTCTCTATATAAGTTCAGCTGGTTCATTTAGGGGAACTTTCAACTCCAACTGGGACCTGATAGTGCCATCACTATACTGATGTCTTTCTATTCGTGCTTTGATCCGAAAATTACGCCCTTGTGAACTTCCAATCAAAAAGCAGATTAATGCTAAAGCAGGCTCAAGAAACGAGAAAAGTTGATATCCATTTAATCAGCTAATAATTAAAATACCAGACAAAGTCTAGTAAAAACTATAAGCTTGCGTGGTCGTATCAAGAACAAGAATAGAACGAATCAGCTCGGATATCATATGCAGGTATAGCCAAATAAGACAGTTGAAATCTGAACACAAATGAAAAAGAGACTTATTAAGGATTGCAAAGAAACATGGGATTTTTCTCATTATTAAGATAAGTAGAATAGCATCCAGATCAATGCACTGTAAGATAATATCAAGATTCCAAAGAGAATGTTTGCACAACAAATGCAGCAAAATTAACTTCATAACCAAAAGAACAGCTTGAAGACCTCGGATCTCAATACAGCCGCAGGACGCTTCTTGCAATCGAATGTGAATTATTTGGCTTTATTTTCCCCTGTCCGCCTCTCCGGCTGCCCCTCATAGGCGTTAGGTAGAATCGTAAAAGCCCATTATCGAAATGGTTAGGCGAGTATCTTGCACTCCGATTCCTCTCTAACACAAACTCATCTCTTTTCTTCTTCCCATTCCCGTTCATGTCAACAACCGGTTTCCTTGTACTCCCAAATGATCCCCCAATGTGACTTGAATTCCTCCAGCTCACACTACTATTGCTCCGAAATACATTCCTATTCAATCCTCCTCTGAGATCAGCATTCTGATCGTTCCTCAAATCCTGCCAAGACTCTGACAATGACCTCTCCACCCCGTTAATTCTACTATACCTATCATCATCCTCATCTTTGTTTCCACCACCGCGCCGGTGTATAAGACCCCATATTTTCCAACTCCAGCTCCTTGACTTTTTCGATTCCTTTCGCTCCCCGTTCCCTAACACCGAACTGTTACTCCTAAACCCATTACTCAACTCAAGAGCCTCAGAGCATTCATCCCTCAAAGAATTCGAATTTGAGTTCCTTAAAGAATTCGAATTCGAGTCCCTCAGGTCTCGCTCTCCTACCAATACCTTAGCCCCATGAAAGTAATCTGCGGTAGTTGGAGAAACCTTAGCATTAGAAACTGCCTTCAACTCATCAATCTCTGCCACCACAGCAGCCGCAGTCTTCCTAATGGAACTAGACCTATCAAGACTCTTCCTCCTCCTCGAGGAAGAGTCTGTATAGTATTCCCGAGTCTGTGTCGATCCTCCAGGCACACTCTCATCCTTATTCACAGTCATCATTGTTGGCTCCTCTACCGGAATCTGCATATCAGACCGTGAAACATGGACAGCCGGAGCATCCTCCATTACAGAAACCATCGGTGGCATCCTCGGAAAACTCCTCCCGTTCAAGTACCCATCCCATGATGCCCGAGGCTCTTCAAAAGAGTACCTAGGATCATCAATGCTGATTCTCCCAGTTCCGGCATCGAGCGAAAACCTCGGATCAGTATCACAAGACCTTCTCCCAAACCCGTAATCAGCAATCTCAGATTGAGTCTCTCTGTAACGCCTGGAAATTGGTTTCTGCACAGGCAATGTGCCCGAGTTTTCCCCATCATCCTGCTTTTTCATCTTCTGCTTGCGCCTCCAGTTTTGCCATTTCTTACTAAAAACTGAGGCCGCAGCCCAAAACCCCCCTCCAGAACTCTTCTTGACCTGTGTATCAAGATCTATATGATCCTTCATTGGCTTCAAATTGTTAACACTCACAACTTCTTCTTCTATAATTTCAGAATTATTCGCCTCTATTTCAAGGGAGATTCCAAGATTCTCCAAATGGGTATCCCGAACTGGAACAATTTCATCACCATCATCATCGTCATTGTCCTCACCAGCAGAAGCAAAATCTTCTATGTTTTCAGGTTCTTTAAACTCCTCATCATCTCCATTTTCGGGCTCCTCGAGAACGGGTTTATTGGCAACAAAAGACTCGCATTGCTTGCTGCTCTGACAATATTGTGAGTGGTTTTGGGAAGAAGAAGAGGCTTTATTAGTGGTTTTATTAACGTCGTCAACAGTAAAGAGTGACCCGAGGGTGTTACGCGCCCTAACGTCACAAGATTTTCTCTGGGGCTCAAAAAAGAGGCCTAAAGCTTCATTTTTGGAGGCGGAAAAAGATTTCGTTCGCCGGAGTTCGGGAAAAAATGAGGTGGATTTGGAGCTGGTAGTTTTAGGTGCTGGCGGCGGTTTGTTGGAAGATGAAGACGAAAACAAAGATTTAATGGCGGCAGCGGTGGCGGACGAGGGGCGTCGAGAGGAGGAGGGCGTATTGGAGGATGATTGATCTAAGGTGGTGAGCCGTTCGCAGAGGCAGGAAGGGCAAAACCCAGTAAATTGCTCATCTGGATGGCGGTCGCAACTGAAGGAAGAACGCGGTGGCTGTGGCGGCTGCGGCGGCGGCGCTGTCGGGTCTGCAGCCGTAGGATTCATAACCGTTGAAGGTGGTTGTTAACACTCAACCCCCAGCTGCTCATTTCACTTCATCTCGCATTTTACACACAGTGTAAGCACAAAAACTCCCAAAAATCTGTATAACCGTGCAAGAATCTGTAAGTTATAGAGAAAGAAACAGAGAGAGAAAGCTTTACTTCGTGTACTCAAATGGACAGTAAGAGAGAGTGAAGCGAAGAGAGAGAAAGGAAGAGGAAATAAAAAGAAATTTACCGAAACTTTCTCTCTCTAAAATTCTCTTACCGTTCATTCTTTTCTAGTAGAAATTACTGTTTTGCCCTTCATGTAAATTCCTTCCTTGTGTCCAAAAGGAAATTATTATTTACAAATGTTGCTTTAAATATTATTCAACAAATTAAGTTAGTACCTAATCTTTGAAATGATCAAATTCACTCCCAATATTTTATTATATCAAATTGAGTCCTCCATGAAAGAAAATGTCAAAATTTCATTCACAATAAGTATTTTCACTCAAACGTCACATAATTCTTGTAAAAATTTGTCCAATTTCAAATTAACATTAGTAAAGGAATTGCTTGAAAATATGTCCAACTTTAAATGTTCATGCACCGATCCAAGTTGAAGAACAAAATATAACTTCATAAAGTCAGATAATTTAGCTCATGTTTGACAATCATTCTTTCTTTTTTTTTTCCTTATATTCATTTTCAATCACGTATTCTTACAATAAAATATTTTTTCATGTAAATTTAAAAAAAATCTTACTTTTTAACCACACATTTTTCCAAAATTTACTATTTAAAAACTCATTATTTTCAATAAAACAAAAAAAAATCCATCAAACGTGACAGATTTATAGGTGTTGCACTAACTGCATCTCTATGGCTTTGTCTGGTGCCCATTTTCCTCCCCAAAGGAATCGATTTTTGTGTCGTTAAAATTGACCGTTTCTCACAGGTGCAGCAGCCGCAAAATCAGAAATGTTACCGTTGACTAGCTTCAACAGTCCTCAAATGGATTTTCATGGGATTTTAATCAATCCCAGACACGGCCTATGATTGGGTTTTTTATTTTATTTTATTTTTTTGTCAATGTCCAATAAAAAATTGTCAAATGTTTCCCTCTAAAAAATTATGTCAAACTTCCCTGTACACATCATTTCTCTAATTGAAATTTGGACGAATTATTCAAGAATATGAAAAGATTGAGGATTTATATGCGAATTAGAAATAGATTGGGGTCAATAATGCAATTAAGAGTAATATTTTTTCTTTGTTTGAGGAGCTTTCAATTTTCAAAGATTCCTGTCTGAGACAAAAGCAAAAGTAAATCACGCCATCACCAGAGAGACTCTCTCTCTCTCTCTCTATACGTATAGTGAGAGAAAGAGAGGTCAGGTGTGTTTCTCTCAAATCGCTTTCTTCTTTGGTTTGCTTTTTCTGGTTTTTGCTTTTCCTTTTGTTTTCTTTTTGTTTTGGGGCTTTTCTTTTCTAGTTCTTTTTTTCTGTCTCTTTTGCATTTCCGCCAAAAAATCAGATCCATAATGAATAGTCGGTGATGTTTTTATTTCACATTGAAATTTCAGCCTTCGTGATTTTATGGGCCAAAATCAGACTCTGTTGAAGAGGGGAGACTATTTTGGAAAAACTAATGGATTTTGTCAGGGGTACATAAATTTTCACATAATGGTTCACGTAATTACAAGTGACGCATATCTAATCTTTAATTCAAATCTCACACTTTCACATCAATCACCGGATGGTTGCCACATCACGTTATGTACCCCTCTATGTACATAAATTATGTACAACAAAAATTATCCAAAACTAATTAGTACTAAAAGGCTCGGCTAAATTAGCTAGCATGTTCCTTTAGTCGGCATTGGCTTCGACCCATTTGAAACAAAATGAAGAGGGATTATGCCAATTTATCGGAAGGATTTTGATGGATGCAGTGACAAAAGTGTAAGTGACAGCAAATAATTGGATGAAAAATTTGACAGTATTTTAAACAGTTTAATAATAGGATGTCATATGGCACTGTGTCAACCTTTCTTTTAACTTATTTGACAATGTAGCGTGATTGAAGAAAGAAAAGCATTACTTTAGACGAGATTCATTGTTTACATATATTTAGGGTGTATTGGTGATAACATGGCACTTTAAAAAAGGCCTAGTAAAAGTAAGACTATATTTCGATTGAGGTGGTAATATTGAGCTTATATGATATCAAAAGGTAATTAAAGATGAAGGTTGATTTAGAACCTTTATATAAAAGAAAATTTGACAAAGAAGACTGAGCTCGATTCAATACCAAGAAAAAGTTAACAAGGCGAGCCCTATCCAAAAGAAAAATCTTATGATATACTTCATACGTGGTAGGATTTGATCAATAAGATTGAGAAAGCTCGTTCTAATTTGAAATAAAGTTAGCGGTGGACAAAATATCCTGACCAAATTAAATCAATTCAAATAAAGATAGAACCAACCAAACCAAACGGTTCGGTTTGGTTCTACAAAAGAAATTAATGGCTTTGGTTCTTCTAATCAAGAACAATTTGGTTCTGATTCGGTTCGGTTCTAATTCAAGAATCGGGGACCAAAACCAAAACCAAAACCAAAACCAAACTTGATTTTTAATTTTTTTTTTTTTTTGGCTATATATTAATTAGTAGAAGCCATAATTTTGTATTGATTGGAGATAGCTCATTAATTGGAGACAATTTGGAGACAGCCCATTAATTGTGTACTCCCTAATTTTGTATTCATTTGAATAATTTTTCTTTCACTCTTTTTCAATTTTCACAAAATCGAAGGACTCTTACACCATATTTCATCACATCAGTGGATGAAACTCTTTCAAAATCGAAAAATGGAATTAGCTAGTCACTTAAAAAACTTTTAAACTATTTTTTCACTTTGATTGTTTGATGAATTGTTTGAGTTCTTTACAAATAGAGGAAAATTCAATAAACATTCACAGAGTATTAAGCAGTTAATGGTTGTTGATGAAAGTAGACTATAAGAGTTTTGCATAATTCATCATTTATTGTGAGAGTGTGACGTCAAAACTGTTATAATTAGTTTAGTGAAACATTGTTATCATTTACTAAGCAATCTTTTGTATGGGAAAGAAAATTTATTTGTGCATTCAAATTATGACTATATTTTGTTTGTTTGTTTAGATTTTTGTAGTCTTGATGATTGATAATATGAATTTACTGAATAATTAATATCTATTTATTTTTATTTTACTAAATTTAAGAATATGGTGTAAGTTTGGATATTTAAGAAATAAAACTAGAACTAAACAATTGGTTTATGATTCGATTCAATTCTCTTGAAATCAGAATCAAATGTAACCAGGTACACCCCTAAGTAAAGACATCAAGATCAACCAAATTCAAATGGAAATCCAACTTGCCACTACAATGCTTAGGCCAACTAAGGGAAATAAATTAATTTGTACGAACAAGGCTTGGCTAAATTACCTAGCCTATCCTCATTAGTCACCTCTCTTGGTTTCGGCACATATTGAACTAAAACGTGTTGTTTTGGGATGGGTGCTTAGCACATAAAAATTTATGTGATGGTGAATCTCATTACTACATTATCCACTAAATTAGGATGCATTTCTTTATTAATTGGACAATGAAATTGTGAGTCGATTGTCACCTAAACTGGTACGAAGTACCATTTATGCTACTAAGTATTACTCCATTGTATCAGGATGAATTAACAATAAAGTATGATAACTCCATCACTTGTCTCTAATGACTTCAATCCCTGACAAATATTATTTGTCATATTTTTTTACATTTCTATAGATTCACAACCCGATAAAAACTCGCTCAAAGCGTGACATCAAATATTTAAATGTATTCTTAGTTATACTAAAATAGGACTCATTCGAAAATATTTTAAATTTAACCAAAGTTTTCGATAGAATGATACCTAGAATGGTTTACAAAAATAGAAATATTTACAAAGATATCACTATTTATATACAGGGACTGTACACCCCCATCAAAATAGAGGTCCACAACCAATAAAATAATTGTGGACCCCCTATTGTGAGGGAGATTGTACGTCGAGATGTCAATCACACCCCGATAGATATGCACGTAGCAAAACCATATTTATAATTAACGTGCTTGTAAAGATAATTTTGTATAAACCGGTAGCATGCACCGTCATGGTTTTAATGATGATCCTGCTATCATTGCATTGTGCAAAATCAACGGCTTTTAGAGGGGGAGACAAGCAATGGTCTAGATCAACGGTATCAATTTTATTATATTAAATTTAGGTCAAATTCTTCCTTGGATTTCCTCCCGTATACGTAGGTAATCCGTAGACCAAAATCCGTAGTATGTATAATGATTATTATTACACAAGTTGCCACTCGTGTGAATCCTATGTCGGAACTACGTACATTACCACTTTACAGGCATCTTTATTATAATTTGTGTATGTAAGCGTGTGTATTAATTCATGGAAAATTGTATCGTTATTATAATTATTTAAACGAACAAATTTCCCGACTAAAAAATTTTAAGGATTTTATTTTCCTCTCCGAAAATTTTACTTCTTAAAATCAACCATTTACTTTAATCACACAGTCCTACTCACAAATATTACTCACTTATCAACGAGTTGCACATCTAATCAATTTTATTCGGCAATGGAATTTGTTGACCCCTGAAAATGAGCCAACAGATGTCAGGTCCACTCACGTCAAATCAAGTATGATTTCGGCGCGTTCCTACCGAAATAATGACTGTATCAAAGAGGAAACAGACGGAGATGTACTTTGAGGCGAGAGATAAGAATGTTCAACCTCCGGCAATAGAACAAAAAACAATCGTGCTAACAACGATCATCGAGTTGAAATCAAACTAACGTATGTAATAACAAATGGGAATATGTGGAAGGAAAGATATGATGTGTTTTGCAATTGATACGTTGTATATTAAGATTTACAACTCATAAACATACAAAGAATATGGAAAATAAGCC